GTGCAGCTTGCACCATTCTTCTAGAGTATCTGTGGCCCTTGTGCCGATGGTTTCTAATCTACTTCTCGAGTCTGCCTTGACCAGTATGGCAAGGTCGTCCGCGTAGGCAACTACCTCGAGGTCCCTGCCCTCGAAGGTGCTGCTAAATTTCTCCAGTAAGGTATACATGCACCAGCACCAGGCCTTGGGCCCGATGATGGATCCTTGTGGGCATCCCTTCCTCATTCGTGTTTTAATCGACTCGTACTTCGACTTTACTATAATGTCCCTCTTCTTGAAGTAGCTCTTGATTAGATTGACCATCTGGCTGCTGCATTATGCGTCTATAAGTCGTTTGATGATTGTTGGCCATCACAGATTGTCGAACGCCCCTTCGATATCGACGAAGAGGGCGACTACGTATTTCTTTTCCGACTCCATGACTCCCCTTTTCAAGCTCAGAAGTGCGTCCTCGGTAGATCGCTGGCTTTTGAAGCCATATTGGCTTGGGTGTTCCAGCCCCTTGCCTTTGTATTGTTTGTCTACTCTCGCTATTATTATTCTCTCGAATATTTTTCCGATCGCTGATAGGAGAGCTATGGGTCGGTAAGAATTTATGTTTCCTCGGTCTCTGCCCTTTCCCTTTGGAAGAATTCGTAGAAGTGCTGTCTTCCACGCTTCCGGGAAAGTAGAGTCTCCGAGGCACTTGTTGTAAACCTGGACCATGATCTGCTCGTTCCGGTCAATGAAATTCTTCATGATTTCTGGTTTTATTGCGTCTAATCCGGGTGCTTTCTTGTTTTTGCATTTCTTCGTTGCTTCTTTTACTTCCTTTGCCGTTATTGGATTCTCTAAGTTTGCATTTTCGTATCTCCTGATTGCTTCTCTAACTTCCTGGTGTGCTCTCGTTTCTTGGGTATCCTCTTGTGGCACTACCTTTCTTAGAATTGCTTCCATCGTGTCTTTCCATGACATGGTGATGGTCCCGTCTGGAAGTGTTAGAGATGAGGTTGGCTCCTCGATGCTAAGCTTCTCCCGGATTATTTTGTATACTAAACTCCAGGGGTCTTTGTTACCCTTTGTGTGGACAAAGTTTCTCCATGACTCCGCTTTTAATTCTTTAATCCTCTTTACGTAGAGGTTCCTCGCTGTTCTATACCGGTTTTTGATTTGTTCTACGTTATGTTGGATGTTTAATCGTCTAGCTCTGGCAAGCTGTCTTCTGGCTCTATTGGCATGTTTTCTGAGGTTTACTAGCTCCTCCGTCCACCAGGGTATCCTGTTTGGACGGATTCCAATCTTTGGAATTGAGGTGTCACTGATGTCTCTGATCACTCTGGTAAGTCTCTTGGCTGCTCTTTCTGCTGTCATTGTGTTTAGTTGTCGGGTAAAGTTCTCGGTGATTCTGTTGTTCGTTTCTATTGCAAACCTTTCCCAGTCCGCCTTTCGGATATTATATCCTCTGCGGTGGGAAGTTTGGTTGTTGGCGGTGATCGGGTCTTCTAATTTGATGGTGATTAGACTGTGGTCGCTGATGTTGCACTCAGGCGCCACTTTCCATTCTATGTTGTTGTTTAGTAGATTCGCGGTAGTTAAAGTAACGTCGATAATTGTCTGTCCTCTGTGTGACAAGAATGTGGGTGTGCTGTCCGGTTTGTTTTGTATGTGAAGGTCGTTTTCCAGGATGAATTCCTGGAGTCGCCTTCCCCTGTCGTCAGTGTGATCAGAGTGCCAGAGTTCTGAGTGTGCGTTTGTATCTATTGGTATGATGATCTTTTTATGTCTAAGTTTGTCCATGATCCTTTGTATCTGTTCCAGTATCGGTTCTATTTCGAGTGAGTATTGGCAGTATGAATTAATGATATATAGTTCCTGTCGTCCGTATTTAACTTGAAATGCCATCGTGTGCTGTGTGTTTTCCAGATTGATTTGAAATGTCTCTATATTTTTGTTTGCTATTATTGCCGCTACCCATGGTGCTTCGGTGTTTGGTTGTAGTACTGTTACATTTGCGGAGTATCCTTTAACCTTGTTTTTACCGTGTAAGGTTCTTGGAGGCATACTATGTCTATATTGTCGTTATATATTCGGTTTAGTATATTTGCTGCTGCTGCAGCCGACCGTTGAGCATTAATTTGTCCTATAATCATGTCCGGTTTATTTTAGTTTTTACTAGCTCCACGTAATTCTGGTATACGGGGCAGTTTTTACTTTTGACCTCGTGGCCTGTTTCGGTTTTCTTCGCTCGAATGCAGTTGATGCATTTAGGTTTATCCTTTTGCTTGCACTTGTCCTTCAAGTGCTCCTTCGATCCGCAGGTTTCGCAGAGCTGGTCTTGTCCATTACAGTTTTTTGCCACGTGTCCATACCCGTGGCACTTGAAGCATCGTGTGATGTTCAGGAATTCTCTAACTCGATAAGTTCCCCACATCAAGTATACTCTGCCTTTTCCGATCAGCTCGTTAAATTCTGCGTTGGGGGCTTCCACGATCCAGTTCATTCTGTCATCCTTATTCTTGAAGGAATGTCTGAATGTGATGTCTCTTTCTAGGATATTTTGTTGTTCCTCATTTCGGTCTCTGAAGTTCTTCGTGATGAAGTCCTTCTTCAGTTCCTCCATGGTATGTTCTTTCTCCACGTCGTAGATGATCAGCGACGGGCTTTGTTTCTTGGGCTCTTCTAATTTAAGCCCCGCCTTTTGGAGCGGGGTCCCTCGGATGAGTTCAATATCCTGCTTTCCCTCTACTTCGACGATCACTCCTTTGTTTCTCATTTGTCGTATGCTTACGACGTGCAGTTTAGAGCGTATATTCTTCAGTTCTTTTGTTAAGTTCTCTTTGATTTCCTCGTTAGTTCTCTTGTCGTTATCCTTGCTCGGTTTCACAAGGATTACTTCGGTTGCTCTCTTTGTGTGTACTGGTCTTGGTACGGTTGGTGTTCCGCTTCCTTGAGGCTTGGGGCAGGTCATACCCTTGCCGGAGGCTACCGCTTGCGAGTACGAGAGCGGAGCGCTCTTGTACTGTTCCTTTGTAGCCTTCAACTTCTCATTTTCTATGATGAGGTCATGGAGGATTGCCTCCATGTTCCCCCATCTTTTCATGATGGTCTTTATCGTTGTCTTGCTAATTTTGTTGTTTTCCGTCAGAAGAAAACTTTCCAGGTCGCTACGTTGTCCTTTGACTCTTTCCATTAATGTCTTGGTCGTTGTTTCTTGGGGTTGTTCCGTATCCTCATTTGTTTGTTCCTTTGTCTGTTCCTTGGTATGCTCTTTTGTGTTGGGCTTCTTTTCGATATGATCCTGCGTATCGATTTCCGCTATTTTCCGTTTCCTAGGTTTTTTCTCCTCTTGTAAGGAGGAGAAATAGTTCGTGCAAACGACCTCGCATGCACTCATTTCTCTTTCCGAGTCGCTCGAGCTGCTCGAGCTACTCGAGGTGTCCGCGTCCTGCGGGCTAGGCTCCTTTGGTGTAGTCGTTGTCAATGTTCTCGCCTTGGTCTTTACCTTTTTTGTTGTTGTTTTGGGTTGAGTTAATGGTTCCATATGATTCCCACGACAGTGGTCGGTTTTGGATACTGTCCAGGAAGAGCCGCCATTCCTGGCCAGGCCAGACACGCTGTGCCCTGAAGCCGAGCATGCCATCACCGCAGGTACCCCAGTGGAAGTCGCTTGGAATTGGAGCTATCCGTCCAATCATCCATCTTCTCGCCGCGCACAATAGCTTAAGATTCGGAGGCCGTTTGAAGAGCTGCCATCCTCGTGACCCGGGCGGTTAAGCCAAGGCCCTCGTTTCCTCTGCCGTCACGTACCATTGACAAGGCCAGAAGAGGGGTTGTGAATGGGTCGTTGTGACGACCAACAGAGGATTTACGATGTAGTTGCTCGGGTTCCTCGGGGTCGCTTCCCGTACTGCAGCATACTTGGCAGGCTGCGGTCCCTGAGTTTCTTTACCTTCTTAGGTTTTATGTCTCTTCTTGGTAGCTGGATTTTGGTGTTCTTGTTGGTGTTGTCTCTTTTAATTTCTTCCTTTCTTTCTTTCTTCTTTCTTTCTTTTCTTCTGTTTCAGGTTCCCCAGATTGGAGTTGGGGTCCCTGTTTTATAGTCTCTTTCGTTTTTCCGCTTTCAATGCGTAGATAGCCTCCTGGGATGGGCGAGGTGTGGTGGATAGTATCGACCACATCCGCTTCATCCTGGTCTGGCTATCTAGCTGCGTTTACCAGCCATTTCTATTGGCATCTTGGTATCCCTCGTTGTCCATAAGTATATCCAAGAATCCCTCGGTGTCCTAGAATCTCCCTCGGTGTCCCTCGGTGTCCTGTAGATCCCTTAGGATCCTTCCATATCCCTCGGAGTCCCTCGGTGTCCCTCGATGTCCCACGATGTCCAATCCATTCCTAACCACCCTAATACCTGAGTACCGCCAGGCGCCGGGTCCGAAGACCCTCGACCATGAGCGTTGACTCCACGTGGCTAATTCACGTGCCTGGAATGCATGCCGACATGCACCGGTGCAGGATTGTACTTGCAGGGCTTGCCGTATATTGCACGTGTCAACAGGGTTAGGCGGGTTGAAGCGGCCATGAAATGACCGCTCACAGACAGTGGGTCCTCGGGAGTCCCCCGCCAGGCGCTTCCTGACAGGTCCCCGCGTGACACTTCTTCCGGCTGCCTTCTCCCGCACGCCTTGCGGCGATTGGGTGAGTGACCCCGGGTATAAACCCAACGACTGGTGTGTAGCCGAGTAGCCTACGCCACACTCCACTGCCTGCCCTTTGTGCCGATAGAAGTGGTGCACCACACCACAACCTCTGCCTGTCTTCACGCTCCCGCAATCGGCCGTAGCAACCGCGAAGCTAATCATGTGGTCATATTCACCCGCAGGTGTCCCACGCCACTTGGGCCATGACCAGTGTGGGATGGGAGGCCTAAAAGCACTCCCTGCTAACCAGAGCCCCGTTGGCCGGCGCAATGCCGTTTCCAGCGTCCACCGCGAGGAGGAGGGGTTGGCACTTGCCATCCGGAGTAGTAGAGACAGAGCTCCACGCCAGGACGGCTTCTTGACGCCAGTAGATAGGGACATTGATTGTCTGCTTCAGCTTTCACGAGCGCTACATGCGCGAGCTGCGTCGTACCCAGGCTTTCGCCTATACCGACGGGTGTTGGGGTAGCGTGTTTAAACCACTACCAGGGGGCACGTGCGTAGGTGTTATGCACGGCGGGCTTGGAAATACCCCCCCTTCACCTGTTACGGATCATCAGAGAGGTAGACTGTCCCGGAAGGGAGGTGACCTACTTGGCCGCTTCGCCACCAATCTCGCCGTGGGCAACATTGGTGGCGAAGCGTTTCCAGCGGGGGCCACGAGGAGGCGAGGTCACTAGCGCGAGCTCAGTCTCTTGCGGGCTTGCATATTTCTACGCAGGGTTTATACTCATCATGGCACATTTCCGCCCTAGTGGGTGAAATGCCCGCGCTGCCATTTCCGAGTTATCTGGTTCCTGGTGGGTGTTTTAGTTCTCTATAGTTTGTGTTGTCGTTGACGGTTTGATTTCTGCGCTCTTTTTTGCATGTCTTTCTTCTTCTTGCTGTGTCTGGTGGGTGTTGTTGCATGTGCTTTTTTCTTTCTCTAGTTTCTTCTCTCGGTCTCAGGAGTATCGGGGTATTCCTTCTTCCTGCATGTCTGCGTCCCATGTCCTGCACGGTCTTCCTCTTCTCTCGTTTTCATGGTGTGTGTACAGCAAATTGTGTGAATGACTCGTATGTGTGTTCTGATATGAGTTCCTGTAGCGTGCATGGCCATCGTGTCTCGTTTGATTCTACTCTTTGTATTAGTGTTTCGCGGGCATTTTGGAAACGTGGGCAGTCATATATTATATGTTTCACTGAGTCTTTCCTTCTGCATTTACAGCGATCGGTGTTTGGATATGGTCATGGCTTTTTGTTTATCCCTTATCTTGCCATGTCCTGATAGCAGTTGCATTGTGTAGAAGTTCTGGAGTATCCAGTGCGCCTCTCAACCGGTCTTCTAACGTTGCCTATGTATTCATGTGTGATTCTTCCCTTTGTGGGATTCGGTCCAGTTAACTGCCAGATTCTACATTTTTGTCCTTATTTGTCTCTTTACTTGTTCTATTTGTGGTTTGCTTAGCACTCAATTTCCGGGGGTTGGACAGTGTAGGTCGGCTATCTGAACTCTCTGTTGCGTTGTAGAGTGTATGTCGCTTGTCTTCTCGTGAGCAGTAGTTCAATTGGGATTGATGCTGCGAGTACGGTAAGTGCTTCTGTTGAGATTGTTCTAGTATGCTTTTGTGACTCGTAACAGTGCGTGTCGTTGTGCTTGTTGAAGTCTTCGTTTATGATATGCGTTTGACCCTGTCACTCCATGCCGCTGCTGCGTATGTTATGATGGGTACGAAAATGCCGTTGTATAGTATCCTGATGTTTTTTATAGTCCAGTCCCCATTGCGCTTTGGTTATGTGTGCTAAATTGTTGAATATGGTCTTTGCTTTTCTGTGATGAAGTTTATGTGTGGGGTGATATTTAGGCGTGTTCCGAAGTGTATTCCTAGATATTTTACGGTGTTCTTCATTTCCAGGGATTGTCCGACCCGATTTTCACCGTGGGTGGACGCCTGATGTCCAGTGTGCCTTTTACGAGGAGCATTTCTGACTTAGTCTGGGAAAGTTGCAGTTTTTGATTCTTGCACCAGTTACTTAGCAGATTTGTTGCGGCATTTGCTCTTACTTCTAGTTGTTGCCTGGCGTTTCCGGGTATGAAACTATTAGATCATCTGCGTACGCGATTGCCTCGAAATTGTTTGAGCTTAGCGTGTGGAGGGCGTCATCAATATTAGATTCCAGAAATGGGGTCCTAGTATCGAGCCTTGCGGGCAGCCTTTGCTCGCCTGCTTTCTTGCGCACCGTGTGGTTTCTGGAGATTTCCATGGTTCTGTCTGTGAGGTAGCTTTGTATAAGTTTGTATAGATTCCGCGGACAGTTTCGGTTTTTCAGGTTCGAAAGAATGCTGGGCCACCATACATTATCGAAAGCTCCCGTTATGTCGAATAGCAGCGCGATTATGTATTTTTCGTTAGTCTGCGTGATTATTTCCCTCGTTTTGACGATTGCGTCCTCCGTGGATCTGCCCTTCCTGAACCCAAATTGTCTCTCAGAGGACGGTTGGTTGTTTAGAAATCCGGAGAGTCTGATTGAGATTAAGTTCTCTAGTACTTTGCTGGGTATAGGCAGTAGGCATATAGGTCGGTAGGATTTGGGGTCTGTTTTGTCTTTGTCTTCCCCTTTGAGGAGGACTCGTATGACTCCTTGCTTCCAATTTTTGGGGAAAACTCCCTTGGAGAGACAAAGGTTCAGGAATGTTGTGAAGATTGTGCTTATTTGTGGCCATGCCCTTTTTAATATTTCTGCTTCTATCATGTCCTTCCCCGGAGCTTTTTTATTTTTGAGTTTTCTGATGGCTTTTTGTATTTCTTCTTCTGCAAAATTCGGAGTGTCTTCTGTGTCCGGCGATATCTGTGTGTCCCGTCTGATTCTTCTGTGCCATGCGGTTTCCCCTTGTCTGCTGTCGTCAGGTATAAGGCTGCTTAAGAGCATTTGTGCGGTTTGTTCCCAGGTTGTAGTATGGATGTTTCCTATGTTTATACTTTCGCAAGCTTTTTCAGCTTGAATTTTGTTGGTCTGGAGTTTGTAAGTCATTCCCCACGGATCCAGGTTACCCTCCACGGTGACAAATTGCCGCCAGCTTTCTATTTTGGTCTTTTTGATTTGTGCTACGTATCTGTTTTTTAGTCGGCGATAATCTTCCCTTAGATGTTCGAGTCGGTGCCCATTTGCCCTATTTTGGAAGGCGCGTCTTGCTCTTCTGACTTGGCTCCTTAGTTCAGCTAATTGCCTGTTCACCAGGGGACAGATTTCGGAAACTTTGTTTTCTTCGGTATGGTGGCATCGCTTACGAGTCTTATGGTTTGTTCTATTTTGTTTGAAGGTTGTTTATTTCGTCTTCTGAGCCGATGTTGGTTATTATCGGGTTCTCATGAAGTTCCTGGTAAGCAGTTCAGTGAAACTATTCCAGCGTGCTCTTTTGGGGTTATACCTACTTTCCTGTTGTGGATTCGCGTTCAGTGCGGTGGGTTGATATTGAAGGTTATCATGTTGTGGTCGCTGATTGTCTGATCAGGATGTTACTTCCATTCACTTACTCTATTGTAACAGGATTGGCTGACAGCGAACATCGATGTTTGCTTTTCCGTGCGTATTGTAAAGGTGTAAGTGTCTGAGTGTGTGTTTAAAATGAATAGCTTGTGCTGGCTATGAACTCCTCCAACAGTTCGCCTCTGTGGTCCGTTTGTGTCGCTGCACCAGAGAGCGGAGTTCGCGTTCGCGTCCAGGCACATAAACGATGTTTTGGCCTCTCAGACTGAGCAGGACAGAGTTCAGTGTTCCAAGTATGGTTCTATGGTCTTCACAGTGTTGGAGTATGAGCTTATCAGTTATGTTGTAGTAGTTTTTTCAGTTAGTTCGGCGCAGATACAGTGAGGTGTTGCAGGAATTTCTCTATTTTTAGGACTGTGTAGTTTGATTTGTATCGCTATTGCTGCTTTTAATGCTTTCTGGAGTTCTTATGTGTGCATGTTTTGGGTCTGTGAGGATTTTGTTGTGATTACCTAGTCCTCTATATTGTTTTTGCTGTTGTGTAAGGTTCCTGAATCAGTATAAGATGTCGATTTTGTCCTCGTGGGCAAACGTTTCTTATGTCATCCAAGACCGTTCGTGAGTTCTGCGCATTGATCTGAGCAATTCTGATCATCGGGGATATTCTATCGCGATTCCTATTTATTTCCATAATCCGTTCGAGATAGGCTTTCTTGAATGGCGTCGTGTTATAGCTGGCAGCCCCTAGATCTGGACGAGTGATCGTACGGCTTGTGCGCCTCTTGCAGTTTATGCACACGGTTTTTCGCTCTTTTTTGGACAGGTGTTATAGGTATGACCGTCTAACGCGCAGTGGCCAAGGTATCTATTTCGGCGGCACATGTTTTGCTATGTGTCCGAAGCATTGGCATCTATAGCATCTACTTACTGCTACAAGTCACGAGTGCGACATGCCTGCCAGTCTATGAAGACACGGCCGCTTTGCTTAATTTGTCTCTGATTTCGGGAGACTTCGACTACCCAGTTCGTGGTGTCCTTATTTTTCAAACCCGTTCTAAAGTAGTTTAAAATCTTCTAAAAACTTACCCTTAGGTATCTGTTCCAGGTCTGTTGCCTAATGGCCGTTAGTATGTCCTTCTCTTGTAGTTCGTTCGGGATGCTGTGGATAATCATCTTGGGTCTCTTCTCGGAGGGAGACCAACCTTTAGTCTGCGTCGTTCAGCTTATGTTTTTCATGACGTTTAACAGTGCCTCTTTGTTTCCGTCTCTATGAGAATTTCCTGAGTATTATCTTTTTACGTTGCGTATTTTCAATTTGTCCTTAGCCGGGGCAATGCTTGAGAAGACTGCCTGCTTCGTTTCCTCGCTGGACGCAATCTTGCTTTTCTCTTCCGGGTAGATTGTTACGATGTGCCTGGGG